TTGTTGCAATAAAACTCAGCTGATCATCTCATGGAGTACCTTCATTCTTGGACCACGTATTTCTGTCTTTGTTAAATAAATTTTGCCAATTCATTTGAAGCTTTGCCTTTTGTTGCTAATGTTAAATTCTCAGAAAATCTTTGACAAAATAAAAAGCTATGTTTAGGATCACTGGTAATGCAGTAACGGGAATCAACATGAATGATTTCACAAATAAATGGTCCTGTGGCCAAATGAACAGCCTCACGAATCTGACTGTACCTTAAGTTTTCCACTAGATGGCAGCACCGAGCTTTTTCTTTTGAGGTGGAAAAAGGCTTCCGTCACTCAAACATTGTCTGTTGAAGCTCTTTAAAGTTTGTGCTACTGTATTAACTATAACAACAATAATAATTCATTTTATGTAGAGGTTGCCTTTCAGAACGCCCAAGGTCACCTTACAGGGATCAACATTAAATATAAAGGTGTCAAGTAGCTAACTAAGTACAAATGTTTTGTCACTTAGTTAAGTAGACATTTTGGTTGTTTATACTTTAGTGGAGTGATTATTTTTCTGCCTACTTTTTACTTCTACTCCTTACATTTTAATTCAATCATCTGTACTTTCTACTCCTTACTTTTTAAAAATGCAAAAAGTATTGAATTTTCTATTTCAGTTTGACTTGTTTTTATTCCATCTTTTCATTTAAATAAAAAAATAAATAGAAATCTATCCAGATACATGGAGCCCTTGGATAGAGTGAATTTGTGTAAATATATACCATTCTGACATTGAACACACTCCATCACACCTGTATGACACAAATCACATCACATTCCAGCATACTGTAGTGTACAAGTAGTCTAATCAGTTAATTCCAATTTTTTTTCAACATTAACATTTTAATTTAACATTATACTCATTATTGACTTTACACGAAAAATGGGGGAGGGGGTATAGAACCCTGTGGCACAGGCTAAGTTTTTATCCTTAATGGGTTTTTTTAAGTGTTCATTACTTTTACTTTTACACTTTAAGTAGTTTTAAAACCAGTACTTTTATACTTTTCCTTGAATAAAAAGCTTGAGTTGATACTTCTACTTCCAAAAAAGTATTTTTAAACCCTAATATCTATACTTCTACTTAAGTAACGAATGGGAATAGCCTACTTTTGACACCTCTGATTAAAGATTATATAGTGAGCAGGAAAAAGCAAGARTTTAGTCAAATTCCACATTGTAGGTGTGTGATCTCATTCATACCAGGGGTGGAGCTTCAGTGGAGGCTGGGAGGGCAGTACGTCCCTGGACCGGGCCCCATGGGGCCGAGTCTGAGGCAAGATGGAGAAAGCGGGCCCTCCTCTGAAGGCATACAGAAGAGTCCAGTCTGCTTTGTTTTGAAACCTCTTCCAGGGACCAGATAACAAACAAAATATCTTTTGTGAATCTGGTAAAAATGCTTCCATTCAACAGTAACTTCAGTGAGGTTTGCACCGCCCTCCTTTTATTTTGGACTCTTCCAGTCACCATTGCAACATCTGAGTTAAAACTCACTACTTGTCTTGCATAGGCCTACATGTCAACCCCTTYGGTCGGTTACCTGCATAATGAGCCTCAAAAATCCATAATTTTAGCAATAAATAAATAAATAAATCCATATTAACACAAGCGCTGGTTGGGGGGATTGGTGGTGGTGGGCTACAGGGGGACTGTCAGCCGTGGAGATTTCTGCACCTGAGGCAGGGCAGAGCAGGAAGAAATGAGGAGGGGAGAACTTATTTATAGTGGCAGAGCGGGTTGGAGGATGGTTGTTTGATGGTATTTATTGTTTTTAATGTCCTGCAGGCTCTGAAATGTTAAATAAGTTTGAAACGACGTTTTTTTTTTCATCCGTAAAACCTAAAAAAAACTGTTAACATCAGCATAGACCTGCCTGCAAAATGAGGAAAAAAATTACAGACAATCCGTACAACTTGAGTAGCACAGTGGGACAGGAGAGACTGAGAGGACTCATGCTGTCAGATCAAAGAAAATACAGAGCATCACGGACGAGTTCTCAGAGCGCAAGGTTCGTCGTATGTCCTTCAATAGTGGTGAGTAGCTACTTCTTTTTGAAATTGTGTTTGTGAACGTGGGCCGCTGTGTCAGTTTTACTGAACTTTACTGATAGGGTACAGGCTCTGAGTTGAAATAGATCAAGCTGGTGTCAAAATGACCTGACCACTATCCGTGGTGCTGAACTGTTTTGAATTTGTGTTGTTTTATAGCTGAATGTTTTAATTGTTGTCTTGGTTTATTCATGTCTGTTTGATGGACTTCAAAATAACATAGTCGCTCTGTGGTGCTGAAGCTTGTCAGCCCTGCTGTTGCAGGCATGTGTATGTTGTACACAATGATGTTATCATGAGCTTTATTATTTGGTATAAATGGCCCGGTCCATTTGCCCCACCACCGCCCCGGCTCTGATTTGTTCCGTTAGTGATTCATACTCATTAGTCACACATTGCTTAACACTTCTACCTCTGCAAGTAACAAAGTTCTTGAAATGTCAAGTGAGACAACCAAGAATAAATGTATTAATTTGTTTATTGCACACAATGTTGCCAATAGAGTTACAGTGGCACAGAAGATAAGCGGCAGAAGATGGAGTTACATTGATTTTTCTGCATATCAGATGGAGCACAAGAGGTTTACAAAAAATAAAGTGGTAATAAAGTGCTGAGTTTCCCTCAAACAAAAACCCTCACTGCAAATTTATTTATGAAAATTCAAATATGTTTGTTACATTTTTTTATTCATTTTTTATTCATTTATATATATATTTTAGATCTATTTTAGATGATTTCAGGAAAAGTTCTAGATCTTCAGTGTTTAATGTTCCGCCTTGGATGGTATCCTGTTTCTGTACCAGGAGCATGAACCATCACTCCTCATGATGCAGGCATAGGCTCTGGCTTGCTCAGTGCTCCCAGTCAGAAAATCTGTCCAAAGGCACTCAGCCGGGCCGTTGATCATGCATGGGATGGATGAGCAGTAGGTGATCTGAGGGTTTAAAAAATAAATAAGTAAACAAATGGCAAAGCAACACCATTTTTTTCCCCTTTTATCACAATTTAGAAGTGAGTCTGTTCATACCTTGCAGTCACAGCCGGTCTGATAGCGCTGAATCAGGTTCAGCTTCTGGGCGTTACTCAAAGTATCCCACTGTTGGAAGAAGTTACACAATGTGATGTGCACCGTCCCATCTTCTTCCAGCCGGCCTACAGTCACAGAGTGCAGAAGCAGCAAATGAGTTGAGAGAGAGAGAGAGAGAGAAAAGTGAACACAATAAATTTTACACCCAAATCTCTACCTGTGATGAGATACTGTTCTCCGTTAGTGTCCAGACTGACTCCACACGGCGCAGAGGACGAAGCAGTGTAGACAGCATCGATGTTGCCAGTAGGACCTTTGAACATCTGAGTCAGAGGGGACATTTTATTAAATAAAATGACATCTAGACAGAATTTAAAAAGCAATTTATTCCTTACCTTCATCATTTTGATGTCATATTTGACTGACGGGAAAGGGTTTACAAAGGAGTCATTGCCCATATTCAGCACCTGCGCTCCAATGACTTTAGCCCTGAAAACTACAAAAAGACAAAATCTCCACATTAACAGATTGTATAAGGATAGCATGCTAAAATTGTGTGTTTTTAAGTGAGAGCCACCAGGGGGCGCTCAGAAAGCTGGAGGTACTGTATGTTGGGGGGGGGGGGGATTTAAAAATTAATTGAATAAATGTTGTAAATCATTATCATAAAATCACATTTTTCATTGTTTCAAAATACAATTTATAATAATACCTTGAACTGTTATTTAATAGAACTTGATTTCTTTAATTTTGTTATTATTGTCAACAGTTGGTTAAGAAGTTGGTTGTTCAGTTGTGTTTAAACCATGTTAGATAATAAAATTCTTATGCTAAATTTGTGTGAGAATAAATATTCTATTTTTTGTTTCTTTTTACATATTTTGTACCATTGTTTTTGAAACAAACATGTTGCCAGAGGCAACATCAGCTTCTATCAGAAGATTCTGGACCCATGGACCAAGCTGGGAGGAAGACGGTCAGTTTTTGACAAGGACTTGAGTTTCGAGCTTCTTTTGCACTTAACCATAAAATTTACATGTTAGTTTATTCATCTATCATCACCATCATACCATCTATCATTTAGACGTTGCAAACCTCACTTGTTCCGATCCACAGATCTCATTTGATGACCGCACCAAATCCCTTTATTTTGCTTGAGGTGATTTTGTTTTTAAATGATGGAGCAGTTTACAGCCAGACATGAAGAGTTTACTGAAACCGGCTGACAAAGCCCTTAAAGACAGGATTTAGAAAAGTGGGAACTGAAATGACCATCTACACTTCCAGTCAGTCAAACGTTTGTTTTTCTCTTTTTTTTTCTCTCTCTCTCTCTCTCTTATTTTTAATCTGCTCATGACCACAAAAGACAAAAAGCAAATGCATGTCATGTAATTGTCATGCCTTTTTTTTCTGGGAAGCCACAAAGGAGCCAAACAAAAATCAGAAAATCTAAACCTTAAATTCAAATTAACTTTATAAAGCCTTTACAACATCAAATGAATGATTTATATCCTACACATTCAGAAATGTCCAGTTTAAACTGAAATAGCCCACTTTAAATGTACCAATATGCATTTTTTTTATGTTTACGTACAGATGTACCTTCTGTGCTGCGTAAAATTTAACATTTTTATCCAGTTCATGCTGCTGTTCATTCATTTTGCTTTAAAGTTTGGATTTTAGATCAAATTAAAAATGTTACTGGGGACAGTTTAGGTTGAACAAATCACATGATACACCTACAATTTYTAAACTGCATTTGGTTCAAGACAGGAACAAATGAATGACTAAAAGTGCATATGTTCTGTGAAAATATATTTAAGATCAAAATGAATCTATTAGACAAGTTTGTACAATTATTAAATAAAGAATAAAGCAGCTGATGTGAACATCTTGTTTTTTCAAGGAGGGCCATAATTTGGTTGCACAGCTTTCAAGGCTGTGTTTATCCTAAAATATCAGCTTTTCCCAGATATCAAACTTTTTTACTTTATTATTTCTACAAAAAATCATTACACTGAGAAATATCAGTGACATTATTTACATCCCTCGCAGGAAAAATAAAAACATGGACCAACCAGATTTCACATCGACATATACTGAAAATATTCCATAACATATTTATCCATCTTCAAGACATGCATTTCACRTGTAAAGTCAGATTTTCACCTGTTAAGACATGAAAATTTGCTTTCAGGGCACTGAAACGGATGTAAAGACTGGACATTTTTAAATGCAATAWAGAAGAAAGTGCAACCTTCTTACTGATTCCTTATAGGAAAATTAAACTTACCAACGTCTGAGTTGCAGAAAGCCTGCTGAGGATGGGAGGGGATGCAGCTGCAGGCTTCTGTTCCTTCCTCCAGCTGCCAGAGAAACAGGGTGGCCAGAGTGACGAAACAGCTCTTCATCATCCGAGTCATCTTTGGAAGCTTTGTGGAGCTTGCTGTCTAGTAAGTGATGCAACAAAACCGAGAGCAAGTTGCACTTTCTTAACTCTGTTCTCCTTGGAGCAGCTTTTTATCCTTTCAGACGGCATCAGGCAACGCCCCCTTCACTGGCCCCACCCCCCCTCCGGAGGTGAGAGGCGCTTGTGAGGTCAGGGCCTCCCAAACTTTCACAGGCAGCAGCAAACAACGTCACTCCGCCTGGCAGCAGCCTGAGTCACAGTTTTCTGTGTTTCCAACAAACTGGCCTCACTTTAACCTGACCTCAGACCAGGTTCCCCTAATGTTGGGGGGTCAGGGGTCAGGACTGTGGGGTGTGAAACAGCAAGGGAGCTCCTCAAACTCAGTCTAAAAATGGTGGCAGGTGTTTACTAAACGTGTCACCGAAAAATCCACAACACACACACACACACACACACACACACACACAC